GAAGTCACCCTCCACAACCCAGGGTTTCCAAACCCGTGGCGTTAACCAGTGGAGGGTGGGCAGTGTTTAGAACAACACGTTGCGTTTGTACTGACAGCGTACAGATGCCTTTGAGGCTCGCCATCCCTTGAACAATGCGTTACTGCAATTCGCAGAGCATTTACAATGTAGTGGGTATTTTAAGTGACTTGGAGTTTGTGGGAGGATGTATGCGAGGTATATGCAAACACAGTATGATTTCATATTTTGTTTTGGTAAACAAGGAGCATCATCTAGAGCCAATTTCCTATTACCCAGGGCTGGTACCCCAGCTCATGTGCTTGGTGTACTGGCTTGACCACCTTCCCACTGGAGGAATGCAACACATTTCAGGCTTCTTGTTCATGTCTTAGACGTAAGCTAAGAATAGTAGTCATTCTTCTGGAATTGTGATTTGTGCACTTTATTATCTTTTTAAAGGCTATTCATATGTTTGTCTTTCAAATGTTTGTTGGAATGTAGTATAGATTTTGTGATAAGCACCGAAGATGTCAAGACCTGTGGTGCACAAATTACGATACACGGGATTGGGATGACGTAGGTTAATTGCATTGGGGAGAAATCACTTACATGAGAAACCGATAACCCAGGATCTGCACTCTGAGCATCCAAGCTCAGCTGCCGTCCGAGAGGCAACCAGAACCCAGAGAGAGCCAGCCTGTCCTCCCCTCTGTCCTAAATCCCACGTGCTCACAAGTGCAGCTGTGACCACGCCCAAATAGGCGTGGTCAGCGCCACAGGTACCTAGTAAGATCTCTCACTACAAAGACCAGACAATTTCTACCCTAAACAGTCAAACGATCTAGCAGAAAGAGATAAGTAAATTACTAGGTTGACTATTGCTGCAACTATTCATAATGGAAAAGAAGAATGAAGGCAGCGAGATGGTTCAGTAGGTAAAGGCGTTTGAGCCGCCCACTTGGTGGAAAGAGAGAGCAGATTTCTCTTGTGGTGTCCTCTGGTTTCCACAGGCACACTGTGGCATGCATGCATCCCCCCCCCACATACACAAACACACACACACACACACACACACAGATGTGCACACAGAAAATAAATGAGCTCGTTAATGTTAAAAAACCCAATTAATAATAATTATGTAGTATATTGGCCAGTAAGTATGAAATGTTTCATAAAAGTACATTGATTTAAGGTACTAATAGCGTTCTCTGGCTCACAGGCCTGTGGGATAGATGGCTAGGATCCTAGGATCCAGGTCCTGGGCAGGATGGAGGATGGGCAGAGAGATGGCTCAGTGGCTAAGGGCTTTTGTCACCAAGAGAGATCTTACTAGGCCCTGATGGTACTGACCACGCCTGTTTGGGTGTGGTCACAAGTGCATACAGGAGCATATAGGATTTAGGTAGGAGGGGAAGGACAGGCTCTCTCTTTGGGTTCCAGTTGGCTCTTGGAGGGCAGCTGAGCTTGGATGTTCGGAGTGCAGATCCTGGGTTATCGGTTTCTCGTGTAAGTGATTTCTCCCCAATAAAATTAACCTACATCATCCCAATCCCATGTATCGTAATTTGTGCACCACAGAACCAACGTGGTAAAAGAGAAAAACTGACTGCCAAAAGTAGTTCTCTGTGACAGACACACACACATCACACACGCATGTGCACCCACACACGTATGTGTATACATCCACACATGCATGTGTACACACACACACACACACACACACACACACACACACAAGAATACAGGTTGGGTTCCATGTGCTCTTCATCTTTGGGCCAGCAGGCTCCTGGGATGTATGCTATTCCATGATTCACTCCGGGAAGCAGGCTAAGCAATCAGCATTGGGTGATGACGTTCTGATCAGCGCATTCTGATCAGCGCATCGGATAGCCGTCCACAAACACAGGAGTGGCTTCAAGTCCCCCGTACTCCGGGGTGGCATTCCTGTGTGGAACTTGTGTTTCCTGCTTTCTAGAGATTTTCCGCATCTGGCTGTGGTGGATCGGCAGCCCTTCCCCGGACAACACTGGCCTCTGAGCCCCAGCCCCAGCCCCCAGAGGACTGCTCTTGAAAAAACCACATGATATCTCCTGAATGTAGAATATCTCTTGGCCCAGGCCAGCCTGGGACTTGCCCTCAACGTCTGTTCTTGCACTGCCTCTTCTTTATACTGTAAACTTGGTAGGTGCAAGATTGTAGCATCCTTTGCCTTTGGTGTTCCTCTTCTGATGCAGACAGCCCCAAACATGATGCTGAAAAGGAAACTTTGTAGCCGGGTGATGGTGGCACACACCTTTAATCCCAGCACTTGGGAAGCAGAGGCAGGTGATCTCTATGAGTTTACAGAGTGAGTTCCAGGACAGCCAAGATTACACAGAAAAATGGTGTCTTGAAAAACCAAAAGAGAAAGAATGGGTCTCTGTCTACACCGCTTCTGGTTAGGCTGCTCCAAGGAGGCACTAGAGGGTGGAAACAGAGGAAGAATGGGGTGCTGCTTCCTCCCACCCGTCACTCTGGCTCTCGGTTATGGATGGTAGTAGCTACATGTTCCCTAATGGACAGAACTCTTACGGGCAGCTCTTTTCCCATGGCTCCAGCTTCGTGGTGTGTGTGTGTGTGGTGTATGTGTGGGTATATAAGTGTGTGTGTATGTGTGTGTCTGTGTATATAGAGTGTGTATGTGTATATGTGTGTATCTGTGTGTGTGTGTAGGTCAGATGAAAATGTCAGTTTTCTCAGGTGCTGTCCACTTTGTTTTATATGACAAGATCTCTACCCGGTCTGGAATTTGCCAATTAGGCTAGACTAGCTGGCCAGTGATCTCTGGGGATTCATCTGCCCCTCCTTACCACTGGGTTATAAGTGAACCCACCATACTCTGTTCTTTAAAAAACAAATGAACGTCTCTGAGTTCTCTCTGGTCTAGAGTTCCAGGAGCGTCAGGGCTATAGAGAGAGACCCTATCTCAAAGAAGAAAGCAAACAAACAAAAAACCAAAACAAACAAACAAACAAAAAAACCAACCAAAGTTCTGGGAATTTAACTCAGGTCCTCCTTGCTTCCAAGGCAAGGATTATACTATCAGCTTCTGGGCTCCTGATGGCTCCAATGTGAGCTCAGCTCTCTCTTAGGCTCCTCGTGTGGTCTGAGTTCTCTCCTAAGCTCCTCATGGCTCCAACTTTTTTTTTTTTTTTTTGGTTTTTTGAGACAGGGTTTCCCTGTGACTTTGGAGGCTGTCCTGGAACTAGGTCTTGTAGACCAGGGTGGTCTCGAACTCGCAGACATCCCCCTGCCTCTGCCTCCCGAGTGCTGGGACCAAAGGCATGCTTCAGCACCACCCAGCTATGGCTCCGACTTTTAACCTAACCTCTGACTCTTTCACTTGACTCTTCATTTGGGGTGATGACGTTACTAGTCACTAGGCAATCAGTATCCTTCACTCCTGCTCCTTTGGTTATCTTAACCCACACCAGTCTTCGGTATAAATTTCCAGGCACAGGGATATATGTGCACCTGTAGCCTGGCTACTGGGGTGGGGGGCGGTGGCAGCGGCAGGAAGGTAACGAGCCTGGTGGTTCAAAGCCAGCCTGGGCAACAAAGTATGGACTTTTACATTTTCTTCAAAAGGTGTTTCGTTCGGTTAGAGGCAGGCAGATCTCTGTGAGTTCAAGGACAGCCACAGTGTGTCTCTCTCATATATATATGTCCACAATAACAGGTGTTTCATATCCTTCACCAGCAGGTCACAAGTCTCCCATGTTGTCCACGACGTTCAGTACACAAATCCAGAGCGAACGCCTGGCATCAAGCTGGGTGAGAAAAGTGTCCCGTTTGTTGTACTTTACATTTTGTGACCTTTCTTCCTGTTATGACAGAGGGCAGGGAGAACCTTGGCAGATTCCATGGCCAGCGAGGGTAACCGAGGAGGAGGAGGGACAAACACGCCAGGCAGACAGAGCTTAGGGAGAAGTTTTATTAGAAAGGGGAGGGAGAGGGAAGGAAGGAGAAAAGAGGTAAAGAGAGACAGAGACAGAGACAGGACAGGAGAGACGAGGGAGACAGGGAAAGCCCTGCCTGCCCCAGGGGGACAGCAGGAAAGAGAGAGCAGAAAGAGAGCGTGAGTGGGCGGGGATCTGTGTTTTAAAGGGTCCTTTGCACTTGCGTGCAGACTGCACAACCATGGAACCCTGGGCTGACCAGGGCACTGCCTGAGTGTGCTCTGCCAGGTGACATGGGCCGGCTGGCATAATGCCTTACACTTTCCCTGTCCTCATCTCTGGGATGTCTGACAAGGTGCTTCTCCTTTTGGATTCGTAGGGAGGTAGATAAGAAAAAGATCATTTTCACCGGGCGTTGGTGGCGCACGCCTTTAATCCCAACACTCGGGAGGCAGAGGCAGGCGGATCTCCGTGAGTTCGAGACCGGCCTGGTCTACAGAGCGAGTTCCAGGACAGGCTCGAAAGCCACAGGGTTTGGTTTGTTTTTAAAGTGTAGCTGAATCTGGGTTACGTGGGGGTTGCTTTGCTTTGTTTTCGAATCACCAGACTCTGGGCCACAGCCGCCAGTAAACATGCTTCAGCTCCTTTGACCCGCGGCAGAGGGTAAGCTGCTGGATAAAACAGCTCATGTCCGCACCACGTGATACACGCTTCTGCATTCCACCTCAAATGGTCGAATTTGTTCATTCCCCTAACTCGTCTCCACGGGCAGAGTGGATGTTTTTATTTGCATTTCATAAAGCCTAGTTCAGCAAACACTTACTAATCCCCACTTGAATGCCTGGCCCTCTCCCTGGCCCCGGGAACACGGAAAGGGAGATAGAGTGCGTTCTGTATTCACTACAGTCTGGGGAGACACAGACACAGAAGCTCATCAAAGCGTGAAGCAGCGAACATCACATGCATGGGTACGGCTAAAACATCCCGGGTGCCAAGAGGAAGCAGGAAGGACGGGCTTAGATGTAAATGTCACCGAGTGCTTACCTTGGGCGAAGGCCCTGGTGCGTGGTTCATGGGTTTCCAGCAGCCGCATCACCTGGGAACCTGTTAAAAATGCAGAGTTCCAAGGCCCCGCCTCAGATCCGCTGATTTACACTCTGCACTTCGGCAAGATGCTCGGGGCATCTCTCTCTCTACGCATGTTACGTGTGAAGAAACACCAACGCCCCCCCCCCCCCCCTTGTAGGACCTTTACAGCAATCCCGAGAGAGGGTCCTGCACCTTGCCTGGACAAAACTGTAGAGGTGATCCTGGCGGATTTGAGTGCGGGGCGGGGCGGGGGGGGGGGGGGGGGGGAAGGGGAGGGGAACCAGAATCTGAGGGCCTGAGAGCTGGAGCCCTGGCCCGCCCCTTGCTGTGGGCTGCATTGGGTGAGCTGGCCCAGGGCAGTGCGGGAGAGCTCACCCGGGTAGTGAGGGGTAGCTAGCTGGCTGACAAAGCGAGCTGACCAGCTCCGCCACCACCCAGGCCCAGAACCAGGGCTGTGAGTTGTCCCACCCAACATCCACCCCATCTATGAACTGTTGGAGCATGTGAAGGGGACGAACGTACAGATCCAAAACAGCAGGATCCCCATGATGTGGGACAACGACAGGATGTCCAGGAGGAGCCCCAGTGAGAGCTCATTATTGGTGGCATAGCAGAAACCAGAGGCCTCGAGTCAGACCAAGGACTCACGGCAATGAACACTTTCAAGTAAAGATGAATGGACTAAAGGGTCTCAACAGACCACACTACAGCTTCCGCTAGGTTCTTCTGTCGTCTTTTGGGGGGGGTTGTTGGTTAAGCTTTTGGTTTTCTCTTAAGCTTGGCTTTGTTTTGTGGGGAGGTTACAAGGGCAGAGGGAGGATGCAAGATGATAGGGTGATAATGGGGATTGGAATTCGTGATGTGAAATCCACAAAGAATTAATAAAAGTAAAATCCAAAACTTAGCCTGAAAAAAGAAAGAAAGACCAGTCTAGGTGACTACAGGTTTTATTTAATCCACCCAGGCAGTCCTCAATTAAGGAGGGAGATGAAGGTACAAAGTGTTCTACCTGCCGTGGAGTGGGGATTTGAACCCAGGCCTGAGGAACTCCAGGCTCCATTCATTCCTCTATACCTCTCTCTCCCACCCAGGGGTTTCTGGGACACAATCGGCAGCAGAGATGATGCCTGAGCTGTATGTGGAGGACCACACAAAAGAGGCCGCGCTTGGTGTAACCTCCAGAACAAACGTTTGCATGGCCGTGCTGCCGGGGAAGACAACAGGGTAGACAAAGTTGGAATTAAATTATAATGAGCCTTGCATGCCACGCTAATGAGCTTGACTTTCCCTGAGAGATTGTTCCAGCCCTGCTGCGGAGCCGTGGTCATTCATGGATTAGGTCCATTCCTTGTCACCTTCAGGCTGCGCCCCAGGATGAGTTCTCTAGAACTGGACCCTGAGCGAGGCTTTGGAGTACAACACGCGTCTTAAAAGTCGGCGCTTGTGAGCCAGCACGGAGGCTCCCGCCTAGGATCCCAGCACTTGGGAGGCTGAGGTTGGAGGCCTTGAGTTCAAGATTAGTTTGGGCTACAGAGTGAGTTCAGGCTGGTCTGGACTTGTTACTAAAAAAGGAGGAGGAGGAGGAGGAGCAGGGGGAGGAGGGGGAGGAGGAAGAGGGAGAGGAGGAGGAGGGGGAGGAGGCAGCTGGGAAAGAGCACAGTAGCCTGCACCTGTAATCCCAGCGTTTGGGAGGCAGAAGCAGGAGGAGAGCCATAAATTCAAGGCCAACCCAGTCTATGCAGCAAATTCCAGGCCAGCCAGGGCTACAGTAAAACCCCGTCTCAGAAAGGTGAACAAAAGAAAAAATAGAAGGAGAAGAAAGGAAGGAAGGAAGGAGGAGGGAAAGAAAAGAGAAATCAACACCTGTCCGGGGAAGAGGAAGCATGAAGAAGAGTCTAATCGAGTCCCAGACTCTCTCCCAAGAACTAGAGTGCCACTGGGCTGACCTAGTCTGACAGTCAGATGGGTGACAGGTCCAGGCTGTCACAGCAGGGTGACTGGCTGTCCGCCAGTGAGGGAGTTAGTGCTGTCTGCTTGCTTACCAACTGCTCTCCTCATAGCCAGGTCTGAGTCCTGCCTTTGGGGGGTTCTGGGAGGCCCACCGTGCCTAACACTTAGTTCTCTGTTTCCTCATTGACAAATGGAAATCCTGCCGCTGACCCCAGTGGACTCTGGGATCCTCTTGCTTCCCTGACAGGGAAGCGTGTTGTACTCCAAGGGCGAGCTTTCTCCCTGAGTCTGGGAAGGCCTGACTGTGGCTTGAGGCCTATTAGGTCACTGAAGTTCCCCAGTTTGCCACTCAGATGTTGCTCACAACATCCCAGTTCTTATCAGGATGTGCTGGGCCGGCTGTGCTAAGCGACAGGAATGTTGAAATCCTTGGGAAAGATGGTTCAAGTTGAATCGCGAAGCTTAATTTGAATATAAGGCTTCTGTCAGAGGCTCACGACAAGACCCAAGCAGGCATTGTTCCTCTAAAGTGAGTGGCTTTGAGCAATTGAAGGGACACATTCTTAGGTCATATTTGGCTTGCTTCCTTTATTGTCCTTAGTCAGAAGTCACTGTGGTGGCGGCATCAGTACCATCTGGAAATGGACCAGAAATGTAATTTTCAGGTCCCACCTATCTGAAGTCAAATCAGAAACCTTATGGCTGGGCTCCAGCCGCCAACTTGTACTTCTTTTAATTTTGTTTTGGCAGTTCTGAGACTGCGTTTCAACAGGCAGCCAGGCTACTCGCCAGTTCTTCAGAAGCCCCATTTATGTCCCTACATTCAGAGATCACGGGTATGTGCCACACATCGGGCTCCATTTATACTTAACAAACCCTCCAGGGGGTTTATGCTTGGGAAGCACTGACCAAGGGCTCTGTCCTCATTTGTCAGGAGCCCAGGGCCATGAAGAGCGCTGGCGTGTCTTTCAAAGGAAGTCCTTCAAGTTGGGTGTTGCAACATAGCTTTGTAACTGTGGGGTCAAAAGGCTTATTATCTAGCAGTGAGGAACTTTGGGAAATGTAGTCTTTCTCTGAGAGGTTTTGAGTCTGGCTAAAATGTGGGATTCTATACCAAATGAAAAATAAAGGCAGCCGGGCGTTGGTGGCGCACGCCTTTAATCCCAGCATCGGGAGGCAGAGGCAGGCGGATCTCTGTGAGTTCGAGGCCAGCCTGGTCTACAAGAGCTAGTTCCAGGACAGCCTCCAAAGCCACAGAGAAACCCTGTCTCGAAAAACCAAAAAGAAAAGAAAAATAAAGACAATGACCACTGGCCAAGAGTTAACAACCTCCACCATGACTGTCCCAGGATGGAGCTGGGGGGGGGGGCGGGAGAGCTGCAGTCAGCAACTCACACGCTACAGGAAGGGGCGCACTTGAGAATTAGACTGTGACCCCAGCCTGCTGAGGCAGGAAAATCCTGAGCAGCACAGCAAGACTGTGCGTTAAAATAAAAAGTGAGAAGAAGATTGGGGTTGTAACCTGGTGACAGTACTTGACAGTAGCTGTGACTCTTACGCTTAGTCCCCAGTACCGAAAGTAAAACAATCTATTTGATGACTGTTCCAATCTCACGGCGAGGGAGAGAGAAGCGGACACGTCCTGAGCGGAACGGCTGTGATAACCGGCGAAGAGCGGAGAGGAGGAGAGAGAAGGGCCGGGGAGGGTGTGAGCTGGATTCATTCTAGGCTCAGTGGTTAACGAATAAGCAGCCAGGTAGGAATGTCCAGCCCCTCCGGGTGTGATGCTGCGTGCCTGCAACCCCAGCACCAACATCCGGGAGTCTGAGTCAGGGGGATCGGAAGTATGAGGTCGGCTTGGTCTCCACAGCGATGCGTCAGTTAAGGGGGAAGGGACGGGGAGCGTGCACAACCTTGTGGTTGGTGAACTGGTGAGGTCTGAAGGAAACTGAGACTTGGGGGACACTGCGGTCACAGAGCAATGATGTCACCAGGCTGGAGACAGATATTTGGGGGACACTGTGGTCACAGAGCAATGACGTCACCAGGCTGGAGGCGGATATTTGGGGGACACTGGTCACAGAGCAATGACATCACCAGGCTGGAGACAGATAGTTGGGGGACACTGCTGTCATAGAGCAATGACGTCACCAGGCTGGAGGCAGATATCTGGGGGACACTGGTCACAGAGCAATGACGTCACCAGGATTGCCGAGTAGGATAGGAAAGGAAGAAGTTGCAGAAACTGGCATTTAAGAGGTGAGCTCAGGAAGAGAAACTAGTGAAGGAGACTAGGAAGATTGCCTACAGAGCGGGGAGCGCCAGAGAACAGGGGGCAGAGGAGTTCACGGAGCAGCACGGCCGCATGCTGTCAAGTGCCGCGAACGTGACCCACTCACGGGACAAGTGCGTCCCAGACAGCTAAGGGAGACGGTCACGGTGTTCAGGTGGCATTGCCAGGACCCACCCTGTCCTCCTAAGACGGCCAGGGTGGCCGGGTAGCATTGCCAGGACCCACCCTGTCCTCCTAAGATGGTCAGGGTGGCCGGGTGGCAATGCCACGACCCACCCTGTCTTCCTGAGAAGTCTCAAAAGCCACACAGACTCCCTGGCAGCCTGCCCTGCTCCAAGTTGCCAACTTTTTTTTTTTCAGGTTGGTGTCTGTTTTGTTTCTAGACTTATTGTGGTTTTATCTTCCTCCTATTTGCTTGAGGGGATCCACCCAAAGTCTGATTGTGACATCACCATCCTGGCTAACGGGTTTCCTTTCCCTTTGTCCTGTGGTATGCCTCACCCAGAAGCCCAGATTCTTCTGGGCGATGTAAGGGGTTGATGTTGTCCCTACCTACCGTGTGCTGGAGACAGCATCGGTACCAAGGGGCAAGAGGCACTCCCAGCCCTACCTCTGCATACTATAAAGTACAGACAGCTTGATACTGGCAAAGATGACCGTGGTCAAGTACAAATGACGCCACTGTGATCTTGACCATGTTGACTGGAGGTTGATGTTGGACGTAGCTTGCTTCCAAAGTGTTTCTCTCTCTCTCTCTCTCTCTCTCTCTCTCTCTCTCTCTCTCTCTCTCTCTCTCGCTCTCGCTCTCGCTCTCGCTCTCTCTCTCTAATCCCATTTTTCTAAATCTCAGACAGTCGCGCATGCAGGTGCCTTGAAGGTAGCCGAATTCTGCGGCCGCTCCTAGCTCTCTGATTCTGATGCATGTGATGTTTTGCCTGCTGGATGCAATTTGCAGCTACAGGCAGCCTCCACCGTCCACCGACCGTCTTGTTGTCAATCCATAGCCGTGTGCTGCATGCAAAGTGGCCACGGTGTTTCTGCATATCTTGTGAGATCACTATGGGAACGAAGTCATTATGATACAGCACTTCTTGTCGTGAGCGCTTTTCATAGTTTTTTTTTTAAAGCAGTTTCATTTCCTATTGATACGAAAGAGACACTTGATAACCAGAGATAAATATAGTTGCAAATTTCAAGTTCCTCTGTTTGGCTTGTGAGAATGGCTTTGCAGTCAAATCTTTGGCAAGTGTGTTCTCTCACTGCAGATGAATCACCTGGGGCTCCCTCAACTGGAGCTCGGTGGATGACCTGGACAGTAGGTCTCACTTAAGACGTAGAGCAAAGGCAGACTCTCTGACAACCAGCCACGAGTACCACGGGGAGCTGGGAGAGCTAGTCCCCAGGTACAGATTTGCATCTCGCTTCTGGACGCTGCCAAACCCAAACCCAGCCACCGTGCCGTTGCTGTGGCTGGCTGAACTACCGACAGTCTCCCTGCTTTCGTTCGTTTGGACTGCCCTATCCACTCCGGCGCTGAAGCTAGTGTAGTCTCATCGTGCCTGAAGACACGGTGTTACTCCTAATCTGTGGGTTCGTAACAGACCATTATCCCTCTGTCTAAAACTCTCGGCTGTCTATGTCAGGTTGGAATAAACTGTAAGTTCATCAGCAGCCTACACGATCTGGCTCTCCAGACTGTGACCTCGTCACGGTCACCGCTCCCCTGTCCGACTGTCCTTTCTGGCCCGCTGTGGGCAAGCGTGCAGGCTGTAGACTGCAGAATTGAAAGGTGAGTGACACCATTGAAAGCGCAGCACGGCAACCCTGCACGTGCGCGCGCGCACACACACACGCACACACGCACTCACGCACGCATACACACATGCACGCGCGTGCGCACACACACACACACACACACACACAAGCTCTTGTCTACCATGGAGCCCAGACCCTTGCCTGTCCATCCTTCTTGCCTGTCCATCCTTCTATCTACCGCAGTCTCTTTGCACATGATCCCCTTGCGTGAGGCCCCCATAAACCCTCCCCAAAGCACAACACTACAGCAGGCAGGAGCGGTTGTATACTTTTGCAAAGCCCAGTGTCGCAAGAGTCTCAGAGCCCCTTGAGCAAAAACTATTAAGCAGAGAGTGAGAGCGTAGGACCCTTCTGAGGGCAGGGCCTTTGTACCCGCATCAGTCGCGTCCCCACGAAGCCAGCCCTGGCTGGGGCTTCATGTCAGAGTTTCACTGGCTCCCTTTGGAGTCAATACCCGTACACCCCATCCCTTTCCATGTGCTCTGCAATGGTTTCCTCTGAATTCTGGAGAGAGGAAGGAGGCTCATGCGATACAGGAGGCCGCATGAAACCTCCGCGAGGTCCGGGAGGCTCGGAAACGCACCAGGTTCACAGGGCTCCTCCCCAAAGAGTATGACAGGTGGAAACGGTTGCTCGGGGACTGTGTGTGATGGAACCGTCAGCCACTTGGTCCGGGAGGTCCCAGGATGTGGTGTTCTTGAGTCGTCACCCAGTTTGAGGTGGGACTTTCTAGATGTTGTGTCAGCTTTTGGGTCACCAATGTTCCTGCCAACTGGACGTGGATGGAATCACTTCTGTAGTCTGTCCTTGGCGCCCGAGGGATGACTAGACCTTTGTGAATGTGTCCCCAGGAAAATGTCACCAATCGCAGGTAAACTAGAAGTGTTTGGAATCATAAATGAAGCACGGCTACAGACGACCCCGCTTGTGCCTCGATCTCAGGCAGAACATCTAATCAGTTTAAAAGGTTTTGTGTTTCTTTTTAATGAGGCCTTGGACAGGTTCTCATTTCCCTACAAGTTTGCCTCGAAGGCAGTGACAGACTCTGTAAGCAGAGGAGAGCGTGGGCGCACAGACTCAGGTGAGAACACATCGCTGTGCTGGAGATTTGAAAAGGTCAGTACAGTTGGCTCTTTTTCTAACAAGAAAATAATTGTTTGTGTATTTTATAGGTGTTGGGTTTCAGATGTGTTAATGAATTCGATTATATTTTAAAGTTTAGTTAAGACTGCATACCTAGTAAATGGCTAGTATATATTTCTCTCTGGACTTCAGAAGTTACAAATTTGGGTGGCGGTGCATTGAAACAAAATTATTTAGGAATAGTTTCTTTCTTTTTTTTTTTGGAGTGGAGGTGTTGAAATCAGGGCCCCACAAATGCTGGGTGAGCACGCCACCACTGACCCACAGTCCTCACCTCTGCTCTGACTTCCATTTTAACACAGTTTAACTAAGTTGCTGACACTGACCTTGAACTCGTTATCCCCCTGCCTAAGTCTCTCGGCAGCTGGCTCTCACAGGCTTACACCAGCAAGCCTGTCTAGGGTAATTTAATTCTTGATGAGTCAAGGTTTCGTTGTTTTGACACATCTCAACGCTTTTACTTAATATACGATTAGTTCAGCATATGCTCACTGCTTTCGTTTGGAAGATACTCATGACATTATTTATAAATGTATGTGGCCTTTGCTCTTAAAAGAGGCGTAGGATCTCAAGGGTTCCTCTTTTAGTCCCAGGAACCCAAACACTCTTCGTCTGAATAACAGCACGAGAAAACTCAAGTCCAAGGTTCTGGGACAGTGAGATAAGGCCAGCCTGTGAGTTTTCCGAGGGAGCGGGCAGCTGTCAGGCCCCCTCAGGCTGGTGAAGACATCTGGGGGGTTCAGATATGCTTTCTGCGGTGGACTACCGCTGGGCTGGTACCAGAGGCAGAGTGACTGTAAACACATAAACATCCTGAAAGTGCTTGAGACCCACCAAGGAAGAGAAAGCCCTGATGTTCCAATTCTGCTAGTTTTGGAGAAGACCATTGGAAAAGGAGGGGGAGGAGGAGGGAGAAGGAGGAGGAGAGAGAAGGAGGAAGAGGAGGTGGAGGAAGAGGAAGGAGGAGGAGAAAGAAAGGGGAGAAGAAGGAGGAGGATGTGGGGGAGGAGGGAGAAAGAGGAGGGAGAGGAGTAGGAGGAGGAGGGAGGAAGGGGAGAGAGAAGGAGGAGGAGGGAGAAAGAGGAGG